TTTTTTTTGCATTACATCTAAGTCATTGACTCTGCTACATATCCATACTTTATATTGTATACTAGTTCACCTACTACTTATAGTAATAATAACAACAATAACAATTGCTTTGGTTTTAAAAAATAAAGTTTTTTTCTTAGTTTGGCATAGAGAGTTTAGAAACTGGCATCGGGATGGGCCCTGGGATGAGTCGTGCCACGGAAATCTGGTAACTTGGAATGCGGAACATGGCACCCGGTGAATTCTGGTTTCATGGTATGAAATGCTGCAACGGGTGGGTGAGAAATGCTACATGTTCAGCTATATTACGTCTACTTTGAGTTGGATTTGCTAATCGTCTTGTCGTCTGATCAGTGGGTGAGGATGTGAGACGTACAGTGTTGTCCAGTAAAGGATATGGCAGCATGTTAGTGTGTGTCTCAATGTGGATGAAATCGGGTGTTTGTACGAATATGTCGAGTGTGTCTTCCTGCACAGATGCACATGAGTGTATGTGTGTGTGCGTGTATGCCTACCTGCCTTGCGCTTCAAATACAGTCGTTGTGTATATACAGTACGTGTGTCTGTGTCTGCATGACTCTGCCTGTGCTCGTGCATGTGGGGTGTCTCCTGGGTGTCTAGGTGCACGAGGGGCTGGTGGCGCTCTCCAGGGAGGACTGGGAGAGGCGTCTGGTAAGGGGTCCGATGCTGGGGTCTGCCAGAGAGGAGGTAGGGAACAGCTTGTACCAGCCGCTGACTGTGGCAGACAGGTCCAAGTCCTCCAGAAGGATCTGGGCCATTCCCATGAAGCACTTGTGGTCCATTCGTCCATAATCTCCCCACACTATTACCTGGAGGAGAGACAAGAGTAAATTACAGCACTAAGGAATTATATCTGCCATTGGTGTGACCTTTTTGAAATCACATGAAAATATGAATTTTTACACATTTCAAAGATCCTGCAAACTAATATTCTCAATCAGCTTCATGTGTCCTCTATGATTCATTGTCAACATTTGGTTATTTCACAAGAGGTAATTCACATTTTTTCTGTTGTGTTGTGCTCTTTGGTTTAATTACATCTGATTCCTTCAGAAAAACATGACGTCACACACTTCCACGAAACAATCAGAATACAACTCAAGTCTCTTAAGCCTTTAAGTCTCATTGTTTGGTGAATATCAATTAAATCCAAGCAAATTGCCTAAAAAAAAAAAAAGCATTTTTAGCTATAGATACTTGATAAATACTTTTTAGCTTTGACTGTTTATCAGTAAGTCGCCAATCTTAACTATTGCGGATAAATAGGTCAAATCTGAACCCAAGTTTTCATCAGCATAAACCATTTGAAATCTATTTATTCTAAATTCACCTTGTTGTCAGGGGGCAAGCTAACCCTGTTATCAGGCAACGGCAGCAGCCTCACTAGGCAGGACGATGCCACAGTGCAAAAATTGCTCAGGGACAAGACAAAAACTAGCCTAGCTGAAAAACTCCTCAGATCCTGAGTGGATTAATCATCCACTGTAATAAGTTTGATCCACAGAGGTCCCCTTCCGATGGGATCTTCGTGTCAGACGCCACAGGACACTCCCAGAGGTCCTGTTTCTACACCCCAGCTGCTCCGAGCTGTTTTGAGAGCACGAAGGAAACCTGCACAATATTAGGCAGCTGGTTTTAAGTGGTGAAGTGCCAGTGTAGAGCCTTGTCATTTAAAACTTGGACTCTAACTAACCCTTTACAGGCCAAAATATAAAAAATCATTGATAGATATGCCCCAAGCCATATAATGAGATGGTAAATTACAGTAAAATGAGGAAAGATTTAGATTTTGTTAGTCCATCTTTTGACACACTTGAAAACATTTTAACTCTCAATAACTTAAGTGACAGAAGGTGGACCTTCATCAGTGTTACATTGATATACTGGGAGTGGGAACGATTGGGAAATTATATAACTTCGAAAAAATTCAAGGGAAACAAGCATCACTTACCTGTAGGACTTTCCCCTGAGGACTCTCATCAAACAACAGAGCCTGCTGGTAGGTGGGGTCCAGATTCTTCTTTACGACTTTGGTTTTCTTCTTGGCCAAGCACACTCCGTTCTCCAGGACATACACCTTCACATAGGTCGCTACAAAAAAAAAAAACACACACTTAGCAACACTCCTGTAAAGCTGCAAAGTTCACAAAATTTTAGTTTTAATGAGTAGATGAAGTCCATACCTGGTATGTTCTTGGAGCCTGGTTTGGGGATCAACCCTCTGGCCTGGTTGACCTCGACCTCCAGCTGCCCCCCTCTGTCGACCATGCCGACATGGACATCCCCTACAAAGAGAAAACAGCTCCATCTCTAGCAATTCAACAATAATAATAATAATAATAATCAGAGCTAAATTTTCGTTTTATTCTGACGATTGTAAAAGAAATAGAGTTTCAACCGCAGCTGAGTTCTGTGGTGCTCAGCTAACCATCAGCCGAATGCTCTACTTGAAGATGCAACAGTCGATGTCTAACAGCAGAGGGCCACACAGAGCTGCGAGACTGTCTTCCCCACCAGGTATGGTGGAGCACACTGCTCTGTTTTGTTGTTTTTCACAACCAGTGACCTTTGCATTAAAGATTTATATCTCATGCAAGAATAACTTCATCCGTGCTGAGTGAATACACTAGTATTGTGTAGTATTTTTAGATGCTACTGTGCATCAAAAAGGTTGTGTGTTGGTATAAGGCCTTGGAGATATGAAGGAGATTGTCTGACATCCATCCAAAGAGATCCACATGCACGTGTGTTACAGCTTTAATTGCCTGTGAACGTGTGATTGCTAATGAATTATAAATGACTGTAGTGATATGCTCCTTTGTCAGTGTTTAACAAATGTTTCACATATGCATCTACTCTTGTGCAGCCAAAGTCACTAAATTTAACATATGAATCAGCTTGACTTTAGTTTTCAAATACAATACCTGAGGAGAATGAGATGGGCTGGACAGAAATAGCTTCATTCTTTGCTTACCCATTGGGGGTGTAGCTAGTGTTTGCCGGCCTACGATCTGAGCAGGGCCTAGTCCATCCAGGAAGTCACTGAACTGGCTCTCAGGCCCCAGGCGTGTGGTAGGGAAGACAAACCTGAGAGAGAAGAAACACAAATATCATGGATGGATGGACAAAAGGAAACTGCACATGGGTGACCTGTTGGTTGGACACGCACGTTCCATCGGAGCTATTTGAGTTGGTGCTGCCATCAGTCGAGTCCTTGCTGCCCTGCCGTGTCACTCGGTTCCTCATCTCCACGGCGATGCCGGTCTCTGTACTCCGTCGGATGGTGCTGCGAAGCTTCTTCGTCCCACCGTCTGAAAACATAGAGGTCACAGCTTATTCCAAAAGGATAATCCACTGAGCATAATAATCAGCGGAAGTCACAAAGCTGCCTGATAAGGAAGTCAGGTATTACACAGGGCCATCACCTGCATGATAAGACACTCATGTGGACCTGCTGCCGACACTTTGCAAACAAGTGTTCGGAAATCAGCCTCGACTTGGTCTGCAGATGGTAAATAGTAGTAGATGTTTCCTCTGGCAAGACTTATATTAGTTCTCAGTTGTCCAAAGGTTTTCTACATCATTTAGTTCATTTAAAAAAACACCTGAAACTGACTGAGGATGGGTGTTTCTGTCGCTTCCTTTTAGTCTGTGAAATGTGCTGTACAAGAGCTATCTACGATGTTAGCTTTTTCTAAATTACTCATAGTGAATGAGGGAGAATTTAAGAACAGCCATCTCTCTACTATTTATTTTGGAGTAAGTTCACTCAAGCGAGAAGGCAATCTCACCTAATATCCACCGGGAATGTCTATTGAAAAATCTCTCCACTTCACAGGTATTACTACAGTCCATTTCAAACACGTAAGGCCCATTCTGCAATGGCTGTGGTGAGAAGGGGGCAATAAGCTTTTAAGGGGACTCCTGAGCCTCGACTTGTGAGGCAGAAACGCACACAAATTGGCAGCATGAGAAGTGTTGTGGGTGGCGGGGTAGAAAGAAAGTCCAGAAGCTGAGCGCAGAAGACGAAGGAGGGGTGGTGGTGGTGGGGGTATTTAGGCTTTACAGCTTTGCTGACGCTAGGAGAATGGGAGCGAGCCGGAGAGCTGCTAACCCCAGAAGAAGCTTTCAGGACATCATCCCCTGTAATGACACACTGTATCTCTGTGTGATTTGACATGCTGAAAAAGCAGTAGGGCACAGTGGAGGCGATTTGGGCTCAGGAGGGGACATGTAAGGTTGTGCACTTGTGCAGTTTTAGTAGACAACTCTTAACTTAACCCTTCTTTCACTCCCTCCTTTGTCTCACTATGTGTTTTGCAGCATTACCCAGAGTTCTCCGTGTGCAAAGAGACACCATGGCAACACAGGCTAACATCTCAGCGGTGCATTTCAGGGCACTTTACACACATATATTCACATATACATACACTAATGCATTCATACTAAAGCTGAAATGATAAGTCAATTTATCGATTGTCGAGAGAAAATTAAATGAGCAATGAATTTCTCAAGCGAAAACGCCAAATATCTTTGATTTCAGCTTTTAAACGTGTCTGCTTGAAAGTTTAAAAATTATAATCTACATTTTTCAACTATTTTAGAACATTTTATAGAGAAAAAAACATTTTATCAGATTAACTTATAATGATAAGAGTAGCAACCATAATATTTACATCTGTGCATTCATCAAATTGAAGTAATAATCTACATTTACGGACACCTATTGCTTAATTATAGTAGACGACTGTGTGTCATTTGAAGTTTATAAAGGGAGGAACTAGATGTAGTTGAAAGGCATCAAGAAATTATTTAATCCTCCCTAAGGGCCACTAATGTGAACAACAAAGCAAACCTACAAATTCGATAAGCTCCTGACAGAAAGGCATCAATCTAAGGACACACGTGCACACGTTCACACAGAAATGTCAGGCTGACACTCGACAGCACAGGGGCACATTCACACCCTCAACAACACACACACACACACACACACACACACGTCTGCATTTAAGCAATCTGGGCGACAGAGTAGCAGTTGAGTCACACAGGAGGATGAAAAAGCAGCTGTGAGCCGTCATGTCAGCAAAGCTTGCTTCATAAAGACCTTTACAAAGTCTTTGACTAATTTCTGGGACACCCCTTTGACAGAGGCTTTCTGGACAAATATATATATTTCTTTAAATCCTCCAGTCGGGATTAAAAGTTTTCCCCCCCAGCTGAACTTGTTAATTCCAAAGTAACTGCTTATCAAAGCAGTAACACGAGGAGGAAGCTGGTTAACTTCCTCTGTTTTACATAGTGTTGCATCTGCGCAGCTTATTATGACTGCAGGTGTGGTTGCCGTAGAAACTCGTACATCTCTTCTCTATAGGAGTCCAGATAGTTTAATGGTGCAGTGAAGTCACCAGAGGAGACTTTTAACAAGCGGTTGCTCATTGTTGCCAGTTAAGCGCACACCCAGGTACAGCCGTCCCACTTCATTAGCCTGAGCAACTCCAATCTCATTAAGCATCCCCACCATGCCCGTCTCATCGCCATGACAACCGCAGACACCCAGCATCATCACTATCACTATGGAGATAAACAAATAGCAAACAAAGCCACTTGATGAGACTTCGGGGGGGTTGAAGTGATGAGGACAGGGGAGGATGGAGGGCTTTGAACGAGGGATGAAGAGTGACACAGAGGAGAGTGGACAAGTGCTGAGGACAGATGGGTGAAAAGGAAGATGAGAATGATCGGGTCCCATGGGTGTTAAAGATGAGGAGAGGTGCTGCCTTCTGCTGCCGTCTATTTTTAATCCTGCAGTCAAGAATATTTCCAACAGACAGTGTGTGTGTGTTAGAGAAAGTCAGTGTGTGTGTGTGTGTGTGTCTGTAGTATGACACCCAGACAAACTCCATGCACTCCTGCTGCCATGACAACCCCTGCCTTCGGATCTGGACCCAGACAATGCCACCTGAGACAAGTGGCGCCATGGCGACAGGCTCATTCCCAATCACTTGTTTAAAATTAATTTATCGAGGCAACATTTCACTGGAACTCCTGCACTTTTGGCTCAAACGTGGACTAACATCCTCACTGCGGTGCAAAGCCGAACTCTGACTTTGCTCATAGATGACCTGGCCTGTTGAAGAACATCATGTTTAATGTTGTTAAACCTAATTAGGCTGTAAGACTGTAAGAACTAGTATTACAGTCAAACGGGTCTATATGTATGGTCAATCTGTCAAAACATTCCTAAGAGTCCACACACACAAGTGAGACATGTTGAACATAAAACTATCCAGAAGTCAATAATTTAAAGCCATTAATTTCTAATGTTAATTTCCTGCTACATAACTAGATTCTGGTATTGCACTAAAGTAACAATGCATGATTCACAGTTTTTTTTTTTTTGTTGTTGTTGTTTTTTTTTAAAAACTCATTTATATATACCTCCTTTTATGCAGCCACTCAGTCGACATTCTCCCTCAAGAGCAAAGTAGTTCTGGGCTATTTGAGCCCCCCAGAACTAAAAGTCCACTTTCTCCTGATTGGTTAACTTCTGGAAGCCTAACGAGCGGCAGCAGCCAGCGCTTGTGAGCACAGCTTCACTCACTTGCCAGTGTTAAGTTTTCTAAAGCAAACTGTAAACCTACAAAATAACATAATTTGATTGGAAATGGCAGCCTCTCAAATATATTCTTACATGTTCCTAAATCCGTTCTGGAGCACGAGAGTGATGAACACTGACAGCAAAAATAACAGCAGGTCTTGTCTGTTTGGTAAATACTATGATCATTACATGCCACTATTAGAAGGTATACAAGGTGCGCTCAAAAAGTTCCAAGGCTGGTTCTGTGGCAGACTAGGGCACAGTCATATCCATGCAGGTTGTGATTTCACCATGGACCTGCAGAATCAGCACCGTGTAAAAGTCTGCAAGGACCTCTGTCAACAGGCCTGGAATGACTCGGACTTCATGTTCAAGATCGGCAGTGTTGATGAGAGTAGGGTTTACGGCTATGATCTACAGGCAAAACAGCAGTCATCAGAGAAGAGACTGCAATCTCCAAGACAGGAGAAGAAGCGTGAAGTCAGGAGTGCAACAAGGAGATGCTCACTGTTTCCTTCGACATTCATACGGTTGTGCACTGTGGATTCCCAGTTCTACTGTAATGCCCCGAGGCATCAGAGGGAGAAAATTGCCTGCACCAACACAACTGTTGTTCTCCACTTTGCCTGCTTGCAAGATTTGGATCCATGTGAATTTTTCCTCTTTCCCAAAATGAAGTTCAAGTTGAAGGGTTTAGATACTGTGGAGGAAATCCAGCGTTGGGAAAGGGACTTCCAGGAAGTGTACCAAGTGTGGCAGAAGCACTAAGAGCAGTGTATCATTGCATAAAATACTTCCCCATAAAATACCACTGACATACTTTGAAGGGAATGATGGGAAAGTATAAATCAGGTACAGTTTTTGCTTTATATAGGCGTATACTCAGAACTTTAGATCTCGTATCTGTTGGAAATGTACTAAAATGCTGACGAAAGTGTAAAATGTCTATGGTCAGGAAATACCAAAGGTAACATAGTTAGAAAACCACATGCATTAACACAATAAATGCTTATACCACTACTCAAGTAGGCTGTTTTGTGAGCACCTCCTACTTAAAGCAGTTAGAAATCTGAGTTTTTGGCTCACAAGAATTACTTTTGCATATTATCTGAAACGCTGCCCGCATTAATATGAGCATCTGACATTATAACATTATATCTACGACAGAAAATACGGGAAAGCATAACGTGCCCCCTTTAACTTCACATCCACACTTGTTACTCATTTGTCTACCGGCCCCTCCCCTCTCATCAAAACAGCCCCCCCATCCCCCTCCATGGTGCGAAGCAGTGATCTCTTCCTTCCTATTTAATCCCCTCCTCCTCGTCTGCGCTTTCCCTCCATTCGTTTCCATGGCAATGCCGTCTGCATTGCACCAAGAGCCCCGGCCGGCATGTTCGCTCATAAGCCTTTCCCCTCACTCTGTGTCTTTCTTTGCTCATATTGTCCTCTCCACAAGTCTCACTTCTTAATCAGCCACCACTTCTTTTCTCTCTCTGTCTTTAAATCATATCTCCCCAAACTCCTCTTTCTTTTATTGATGCTCTATATTTGCAGATCTCTGTTTGCTTGCTGGCTTTCTTATCCCTGCTCCCCCTTTTTCCTACACACTCCTTAAACACTGATTTCTTTTCTTCTGTTTGTCATACTGGTCTTACTGAATCCTTCACTTTTATTTTCCCTTTTCTTTACAGTTCTTTGGCTTCCGTC